GTTAAAAAGAACCCCTACAAATAAAACCATCCAGATATCCAAAAGCAGATACTATGCTTGATTGTAATCTTTTAATTTCCTCAAAAGCAGATACTAAAGAGTCAGTCATCAGATACTAATGAAGTACTTGACTGTATAGTGATCAGGAGACAGAAAGCAATGTGAAGTTTTAAAATTGACTGTATATTGATATTGATGATTCAGAAAGGATCATAAATGTATGCAGGTGTATATTAGTGCAAGGAGGTTCATGCCCGTAATGTGCTGGTTCAATAAGAACATACATGCAACTAACTGTACTTCTCCTAGACAACCTTGGAATCATATATGGTGAGCCAACATGAGAACTGAATGTTATGATGACTTCCCATGAAATAGAATGCAATATCCTGATAACAGTACTAATGAAGTACCCGACAACTATATCAAATAGATAACATATGATCAGGAGACAGAAAGCAATGTGAAGCTTTAATGTTTCATCGATAACAGTGAAAAGCAAGCAGAATGTGTATCCACATTGACTGTATAGCGATGATTCAGAAAGGATCATAAATGCATGCAGGTGTATATTAGTGCAAGTAGGTTCATGCCCGTAATGTGCTGGTTCAATAAGAGCATACATGCAACTAACTGTACTTCTCCTAGACAAACTTGGAATCATATTTGGTGAGCCAACATGAGAATTGAATGTTATGAAGACTTCTCATGAAATAGAATACAATATCCTGAACATTCACTAATACAGCTATGTTACCACTTACCAGAAAACTAATAATTTGATACTGTTTAACACATGATATTCTTTCTGATCCTGACTATGATCCATTAGATTAATCCGGAATCCCAATCATCTCTAGTGTGAGATAAGAGTAGTTTTTTAATAATGTGAAGAACTTTGAACAGAAAATGATTTATATCCTCAAAACTAGAAGAATCTTCAGGTGCTAGCATTACCAGTATGTACTCCATGCCAAGGTTCGCAATACTGTACCATACCGGTATTTTGATCTGGGCTCGGTACCGGTACGGTACGATATATCGAGCGGTACACTCAGGTGTGCCGAGTACTGTAGTACTGCTACAGTGTTACAATGCACTCGGACCGGTAATAGATGGTCCGCGTACCGGCAACCGATCGGACCGGTACGTACCGCCCATACCGGGCGGTACAGTTCGGTACTGCAGACCCTGCTCCATGCTACTGTCAAATATGTTAAATGCCTTTTCGAATTTATCAGTTGAAATTGTGGACGTGTGTTCCTAAACTTGATTAAACATAATCAATTTTCTACTAGCACGTATGCTTTTGTTCAGAAATGCACTTGAAATGGAAATCCAATGCATGCAGATTGGAGACATGATTTTACCCAAATTAGAATACTTGACCGTAATAAAGACATTTTCTTTCAATTGAATTACTTTCTTTCCTTATTTTGTTCTTTTGTACCTAATATTCTGGTTACTTCATAAACCAATTCCGTCTCACAAAAGCACATGCATGTTATAGTCCCACATGCCTTTGTTTAGAAATGCACTTCAAGTATAAGAATCATATTGACATGACATACAAGGTCCATTTAATATCATGTTCTGTTGCGACTTCCAAGCATCTGTATGGCATGGGAAACCAGATACAGCTAGGTGGCACAGAGAATGCTGCCTAGATAAAATTTTTGATCAAAATGAAGGAAAGATACTGTGAATCAGCTGCATTATTTTTCATCCTCATTATATTATTGCTTCTAAATTCCTGATTGCTTCACCAAGTAGTTCCACATCTCAAAAAACAATATGCCTTTCTTTGTAAATGCGGTTGCAAGTCTAAAATACATGCTGACTCACTATAAGAGGACAATTCACATCATACTGGAATAGATAAACAATTATCAATAGAATAAGTTATATCTCCTCAACTTTCAGTTAGTAAATTTATTAAGAAGTACATCATTTTAAATTATAACTATAACCATGAATTTTAATCAATCATAGAGATCTTAAAAATGCATCAGTTACATACATAAAATATACAGTAAAAATTAATTCATCTAGGACAATTAAATAAAATATTGCAACAGAAGTTACCTGAATTGGATATTTAACAAAGGCAGATTCATAGCGATTCTTGCAAAACCTATGAAACCATATAGTCAATATAGGAAGGGCAATAAGGAATGGCGTTGAATCTGCAGCCTTCTTTGTACTTAAGAGTCCAAGTAGAAGAAGTTGGGATATAACCAGTGCACTGATAATGCGGCCATGAACATCTGGCCAAAATGCTGCTGCACTCTCATATTCTTGATTGTAGACATTTATAATCTAGATCATAAACAGTATATAAATCAGAAATAAAGATACTGGAGTTTTAAGATGCAAAATCACTGATTGACTAGATATACATATGCCACACTGATAAAAGTTGAATGAGCAAGTAAACTGGTGCAGAAGTCACAAATCAAATATGGAGACACATTCAAATTCATGTTTATTTTGATGGTATATGCTTTTCACTAAATCTTTATAGGTATGTTAGCTCACCTAATTATTTGTTTCCCTCATCTTATGTTGTTTCAAACTTCTTTATCTTTTTCAACAAAGGCTGGGCCAATGCCTGTAAGTTCCGATTTCATTAAGCGTATGAAATAAAAATAACATGCTAAGGACTTCCTTGAGAAGACAACAATCATGACAGAAGTCAATTGATCAATTAGTAGAACTTCTACAAGTTTACTGCTCTTGAAAATAGCTACAGAAATATAGTTATATTTTTATTAAGATAATAATGGGATGTTGGTAATGGATCTTAGGCAAGAATTGCATGAGCTTTTTTTGGCACTAAGGTTGGGTTAGAAAAGAAAAAGATGCTACAGCAGGAATATTACAAGGTGGTTAGAAAACAATATAAATTTAGAAGTTAAGCTTGACACATATGCACAAAGCCAGCAATTCTAATTCCATCCCAATCTGATTTCCGTATATGCATTGGTGATTTCTAGTGAGTTAAATTATACTCTTTTGGACAACTTTTAGGAACATCACTTTATCCTTTAAGTTACATTTATTTTAGTGCTACCTACTCCTAACTTTGGTTGCATGAACATTAATCTATAACCCAAATATCTAATCAATCACAATAGCCTTTAGATTTTGGAGAATACTGTAAAGTGAATCAAACAATCATTTTGCAAAGCTAATAGACGCTCAGGTTGTAAACATCAGAAACTTCTATGATGCAGTAGTAGAAAAATAGCGCCAGGTACCAGACAAAAGCAGCAGATCAAATTCAATCTGTTATAGACTAAACACTTAATGAGAAGACTTCCATGTCCAACAACCCCAAAAAAAAGCAGGTTTTCTCCTCAATGTAGATAAGACTAATTGCAGATCATGGTTTAGCATAATTCCTGTATGGCCTTGGGAGGGATTAATATTTTCCAGTTTGACAAACAACAGGGACATGCATGATTTTGCCCAGTCTAGTATGGGCAGCCAATCAGGATGTGGATTATGTGATTCCGCCTGGTTTGATCCTCTATAAGTTGCACCACTCAATAAAAATATGTTATATGGTAAGCCTACTTCTCAATACTAATACCTTTTTCCTTATTTTTTGAGAGGTGTCATAGCTATCTTGAAATTTTCATTTTCATTTTCTTCTCCTCTCATTCTATCAGTCTCACTCTCCCCACCACCTTCACCTCTGCCCCCCTCACACTGACACCACCTCTACAGTTAGAACTTTGTATGATCATTACCCACCAGCTTGTATAGGTTATCTTTCTCCTCCCCTCTTTTCTCTCATCTCTTTCCTTCTATATATTCTTGTTTCATATGCATCATAAAATAAGTTGATATACCATTGCCTAGCATTGCCTTAAAAGATAATCTATCATTGAAGTAGGATAATAACTTGATCAGAGTTGAGGAAAATAATTGTTCTCTCCAAGTATATGGGTCACAAAATTAGTTATCATAGTTTACAGTTGAATATGTAGAACAAATTCAATGAGGGTAAAACAGAAAAATAACTAGCATTACAGAACTTAGAACTCAACCATGAACTACAACATAATAAATAAGATATGCATGTAAAGTTGTTAAAACTAAGCCTTTCGTGAAATTATTGCAATTGCAAATGCATGATTAGTTTTGAAATTGCTCACCTGATGACGAAAAACAACATATGCCAGACCAAAAAATATTAGTATGAAAGGAAGTAAGAAGGGGGTGACGGTTGCATATACAAGGCCAAGTAAGAAATACAGCTGTATTTGAGGTTCAGATGTGGCAAACTCGATACTTCCTGGATCCATTGCCTCTTCTCTGTCCTTTTCGGTCTTTACCAAGAAAAAGTTTTTCAAGTGGTAGATTATTAATGGCTTCAACCTCAGAATCTCCCCAGCAATTCCAGCCCAACCATCAACCATGATATATGTAACGAAGAAGGTTGCTTTCATCGGAATAGATACACCTATTTTCTCTGGGATTCTGCGTGACCGGATCCATTTCAAAGCAGTTAGACTATAAAGGATTTAATGTCCAAAAAAAGATAAATACACAAGCTAGACCTGATGAATTATCATGGATACATGTACAGATTCTAAAAGTTATTTTGCCAACCAAATTAATCTCAGGCACTTTCTGGATCACATTCAGTTTACATTTCTGAGGCACATCAACCATATGAGATCTGACAGTATAGTTCTCAGTAAAGAAAATAAGTACACAATCCATAAAAAAATATAATAGATAACATATGAACCCCTCTGCAATTCGCTGACCATCTACACACATAAAGAATATGAACACAAAATAACGTATTTTGGATAGAGAATATGCTTATGTAAAAGATCATTATAAACGATGAGTCAATTAATTAGGTTGTTGGTATATATGTCTAAGCTTATTAACGTGCAAATCAAATTGTAAATTCACATCAAAAGCATTGCCATTGTATAAACCTAAAAAAATTTAATTCCCACAAACTTTAGTGAGTTGGCTTTCAAATAAAGGCAAGTGCAGAACATACTCATTTGCTGACTGATGAATAAAAGTATTTAATTGCTCAAATGCTGTTCCAGCAATTATGCTCCCTAAGAACACATTAACTAGTAAAAATAGGTAATATCTGGATGCAGATCTTCGCTGGAGAGCTGACAAGGATATAAATCCTTCAAACTTTGACATGATCATCAATATTGTAGGCAGCAATATAAGAAAGATCTTCAGAGCAATTCCAGGGAGAAAACCTTGGATGAATGACTTGATGACAGGTCTTTGCAATCATACAACAGCATATCAGCAGATGGGGGGGGAAAACCGATGGCAGAATAAACAAATTAAACAGAAATTACACAATATGTAACTTCATAACAGTAGAGTCCACAACCATATCTAAAATTTCATAAAACAACTAGAAGCAATATAAAAATGATGAGCAGATGTCAGGCATAAAAAAGTGCAAGTATATTGGAGTCCATAAGTTTTGGTAAAATACAAGAAAAATCAGGTAGGAAAACAAGCACTGGTACCATACCAGCAAACTCAGATAAGAAAAACAACTGCTATGTGCCTGACCAGTATATACAAAATATTCATTAAGCTCTTGGTGGTTTCCCCCCGAATGGTCCAGAATACCGACCATATAAGTTCCCTTGTAACTTATTTTCAGCTGATAGGATCTCTTTCACACAATATTGGCTCTTTAAATTATAACATCTCCTATATCATTATTACTCACGCATATTGTTACAATAGAATTCTTGCAAATAATCTAACACTGACAGCCTAGGGTCTGAGCTAGTATCTTTTACATTTTGAAGCTGATTTACTTGTAATACTAACTTTTGCTAAAAGAAAATGTTTCACTGAGAAATTTTTGGCTTAATGTAATGTAAGCCCACACATAAAAATTTGTGGTTTAGGTACAATGGAGTCCAGAAATAAAGCTTACATGTTGAGATGTTCAGTAAACCTGTGAGATTTTTTCCATTTCTTATTTTCTTGAGAGGGAACGGTTACACCTCTCATCCAGTTTCATTTATGGCTCCACGTTAATCATAGATGCATGTAGGAAGGACATGCAGTTAAACCAAGGTATGCAATATCGTACCGTACCGGTATTTCGAGGTTGGCTCGGTATGGTACGGTACCATGTACCTAGCGGTACGCTAGGGTGTACCGAGCGGTACACCTAATTTAGGTGTAAAACCCTCCGAAAATATCTGAAAGTAAAAAAAAAAGTTAGGATAGGGTTTTTAAGTTAGAAATAAATATAGTAATAGCATAAGTTTAGTAAAATCAATATAAATTAGGTAATAATAGTATTACATATCTTTTTCGGGCTTTGAAGAATATCTTGTGAAACGTTCGTATTTCAGTCCATTACGGATTGTTCTTATGTAAATATTGAAATATCAACAGAAAAATCATTTAAATTGTTAGACTATTTTGTTACAATATAAACTCTAAAATTCAAATGAATTAAATAATCACATATGTAGATATACCTGATTGTTGATTCTACCACCAAAACGAACGACAGGCCTCCACGGGTGGTGGATCGGGGTCCTCGATCCTATACATCTACATATCAATATGATATGTTTGTTGGACCCAATCATGAAATTGATCTCATAACATAGTGTATTGATACACCGTATGTCATTGATGCATCAATGTGGTGCTGATCGTAGGCTGATCATCATGAATCATATTTGTCCGAAGCAGCTCTTGATGTATATATTGGTAAATGTCAGAGCTTCTACTTTTGCTACTGATCTGCTGCTCTGTATCATACTGTTGCTCAGAGAAGGATGACCAACTATCACCATACTGTTGTTGCCCGTATGATTCTCCATAATATGATGGTTGTGAATACGATGAGATTCTTTCTGTGTCTATATCATGTAGGCTCTGTCGCATCTGCTCAAATTCATCCACTGCCTTCCCCTTCCGCGCATAAACTCGACCAGTACCTTGTCGAGTTCCATGATCTGAATCTTGGGTGACATGTGTAAAATATTGCTCCTCAGTCCATGCACCATCCTCAAGTTGTGTAGACGAAACCAACAACTGCCCGACATCACCGCCATCATCCGTTGAGGCACTGCTGT